TATATTTAATGATTATTTAACATAAACAATAAATAAAATAGGTGAAGAATACTTGATGGTTTTTAGTCAAGTACATTGTAAAATGCCTCACACTATTACTTGACCGTTAAAAACCATCAAGTATTAAAAAAATAAGCATCAATTATGGGGGTATTCCGTCGTAATGTTTCCTCATTCGGTTCTTGTTTTTAAATTACTCAAATTGTTTAATTTGTAATGTTAAATTTGTTCGGATTATTATTGTATGAGAATTGTAAACTTGATTGTTTAATTAATGTTAATATTTGAATTATGGATGAAATTATGTATAAACTTATTAAATTTTATTTATTTTAAATTGTAAAATTATCAAAAAGTATTTCTTATTATCTTGAGATTGACTTTGTTAAAAAGACTTTAATAGAAGTCTAAACTAATCTAGATTGAGTCATAACAAGATTCTTTCTATTTTGATTATAAAATATCCACTTAGATTTTTAATTTTAATTTTTTTAGCATCTACTTTTAGTTTATCACATGTCCAACATTTTCCTATCTCAAATATAATAAAAATAATTTTTGAAAATGACTATTAACAAAATTTACATAAAATAAATTTTTATAAAAATAATTTTTAACATAATTCAAAAATTGTAGATAAAATTTATTTTTAATAAAAGCAGGGGAAGCATTTAACTTGGGAAAAGATAAAATTTTAATCATTTATTTATTAATTTTTGAGAAAAATATGAAAAAAATTAAAAGTTATATATTTAACATAAACTAATATAATACATACTTATAAATAAAGTCTGTACTTAATTATTTTTATTTAAAAAATTAAAAAATTAAAGAATGGTTAAAATGTTTATAAAAAATTATTTAATATTTAAAAATTATTTCATTTTAAGTTTATTTTCCTAACAAAAATAATATTTTATTAAAAAATATAATATATATATATATATATATGCGCACAATCATATTAATTATTTTATCATATTAATAAATGAAAATAAAATAAAATATATATGTATATATTTCTAAAATGAAATTATTTTATCATATTGTATATATTATTTGATATATGTATATATAGTTAAATAATATATGTTTCATTTCGCATATAATAACTACGGATGTATTTCAGTTTAACTGAAAAAAAAAAGGACTTGAGGCTTAAGAGGTGGAGGTCATGAGCTCAAATCTTGATTTGGACATATTTCACAATGAATGTGTGACATATCACATAGTGGTGACATGGCACAAGTTGTCAGGTGATGTGGCATAATGTGATGTCATATCCTGGATTTTAATTTTGAAAATTTTAGGTGTTTATAAGGGTATAATAGTAAAATTAAGTGAATTTTTTTATTAATAATGTTTTTGGAAAACTAATATAGCTAATGGATCATTGGACAACCTTAGAAGAGGGCTAGATTATTGTTTGAGTAGGCCTTGGCATAGAGAGAGGTTCAATTCGAGTGTAGGGGTCTTTATGCCATGTGCCGTAATGGATAGGCCAATGCACTGTGACGCATAGGCAAAAAATCTACAATTGTTGTAACAAAAAATCAGAAGAGGGAAAGATAAAACACTAGGAGGCAATAGAAAATGATCAGTGACTATTAAGGCACGACCTTTAGACTAATTTAGAAGCATTTAGGGCAACATTTATCCTTGGGTAAGCTTCCTACACTTCTCCCTCTCCTACATTCAAATTTCTAAAAGTTTGGGGTAATTTGGGATTTGTTTTTAGTTGTTCTTAGGTAATGGATGAATTCGTTGGCTTAAACAAGGTCATAAGGAACTAGATCAAGCTTCTAACCCTAAGTTTATGAGTTTTGTTTGGATTTAGAATTTTTGGCTTTGAGTTAGATGAACCCTAAGTAGAATTGGGGAGATTAAGAGCATTGTGGCTAAATGAAATGGCATTGCTTATGGGTTTAGGTGTTAAATAGAATTAATGGAGTGTGTTGGAAGAATTGTTAGGATGAAATTGAGGTTTTGGATATAATAGATACCCAATTTTGTGTTATAAATGAGGTAATTAGTGTGTGAATTAACAATTAAAAGTTCAAATTGTAGATTAGTGATTGATCAGGTATTGTAGTGGTAGTGGATACATGTGGAACTGTTGTTTGACCACAATAATCCTTTTTATGGTAAAAGGGTTAAGGTAATTGGATTGTCTAAACTTTCTATTTGTGTGTCTGGATGGTGTTGTGATTTTTTTTAAAGTTAATGCTCTTGTTTTGTACTAGTATAGTTATTATGGAATGATTTTGGTTTGGAAACCCTATGTAAAGTGGAATGAAAAGTTGTTCTTAGTATTATAGTATTTGAAAGATAAATGCTATTTTAAGTATAATTACTTGGGAAATTTTGTGGTTTAAATAGAAATGAATACTTTAATAGAAATCATTTGTTGTGGTTATATATTGAAAACATTAAGCATATGTTTGGCATGACCATTATGAGAGGGTAGGAGTTCATCCTAGTGTATCATTGGGGACATTGTTCGAATATTCATATGATATATTAGCACCATAGAGGCCCCAATGTTTAGTATTATATTATTTGAAAGTTTCAGTACTATGTAAGGTAGCTTAGGCATCGACAACCCTAATATTCGTGAATAGGGAGAATTATGATCTATAGTAGGTAAAGGCACTTTTGGATGATGCTACCTCTTACTAATAGTGAGCTTAAGCCAATTTAATCACATAAATTTGGTCTTATTGAGTTGTCAGCCTATAGATTTAGTTGGGAAACATAAGGAGGGTATAAGGCAATGTGTGGATCATGCATATCATGCTATAGCCATATGTGTGGATTTATGTGACTCATTCCATGTGTTTAATGCCATTTCACATGCACACTATCTGTTTTCTCACTCAAATAATTTGATTAGACTATTTAGTTACTGAGTCATTGACACATCCTGTGGTTACATTTTATAAGGAAAAGCTGCAATAAGGGCAAGGGAAAGGAAGGTGTGACTGAGTATCGAGGAGATTAACCAATAATTGTATAATCCTTTCCATTTATTTTGGTTTTGTAATGAATCTTGTATGCATATGCCAACTTAGGACATATTATTTTGTGATGCATTTGCATGATTTCTATTGTAAACTATAGGTATCTCGGCCTGAGATGTTGTATTTGTGTTGTAATGGCTATAAGAGGTCAAGATACTAATACAGGTGTTATTTTTGTAGAAATTCACATGTCTTTCCTAGCCATTAGAAATGTTATTACATGTTTGTTAGCCCTATAGAATTTGTGTTGAATATAGGGTTTGAATGGTCAAAATTTGTTTAGGATGTTGTTAGGTGGTTTGAATGCATGTACAAGTTGTTTCTAGTCCATTTGAGTTAGTTTAAATGGTTCCATGACTATTAATACTTAGTTGATTTTGGGAAGAAAATATACCATTTTGAGTTTAGGTGTCCAAATCTCATTTGGCTCAATGTTTAGGTGTGAGACCAATGCCAATAGGTAGGTGGCTTTAAAAGCTACGTGTGGACACTTGAATCACTCAAATCAAACATCAAACAATGAATTGGAGTGCTCTAGAAGTTGGCTCAGAGAGCTGTCATGACAACAGTTTATTGTCATGACAGTGGACGCGTGCTGCGATGTATTAACAGTCACACCATTACGTGAGGCATAGAGGTGGAGACTTCATTCTATGAAATCTTTCATGGTGAATAAAGCATTGAACTGTGACACACTATGCCATTTTTGGGCAAACTTCTTGATGGTTTTAATATTATTTTAAGTGTCATTTGTGACTCCTTTGCTTTTATTGTCTTGTTTAATTGATTTTAAATTTTGGTTTAAGCTCAAACAAACTTTTAAAAGGGTTTCTTGAGATCCCATGTGTATGTCATGTGTAACATCATCTCTTGACATTACTAACACAGGAGACACCAAACACTGCATATCATTATGGCAAAGTGATATGGCACGTGTTATGGCATAAGGAGGTGCACATGGCGGGTGACATGACCTAAGGCGTCAATTGATGTGTCATGAAGAGACGCTAATGTGGCATGAGATGGTTGTTTTAGTTTTTTTTTTAAATGACTTTTCATGGTGACTTTTTGTTGAGGCCAAAAGTTGCTACTAAAAACTATTCACCATCAAAAGATCGCCATTAAAAGTCTAATTGCTAATGGGTTTTGACAGCAAAGGTATACTTTTGATGGTGACTATATTTGTCACAGTTAAAAATCATTAGTGACCAAACTTTTAGTGGCAACCCTTTAAAGATGAAAAGTTACTATTAAAAATCTTTAGTGACAAGTTTTGGGTCACCAAAAGTCATTTTTTTGTTGTTGTGTGTTTAATGTGAAAAGAATATTTTTTCTAAACGAACAAAAATGAATTGAATAATTAAAGTTCATATTTATTTTTACCAAATAAAGTATGCAGTTATTTTTTTTGTTGCACATATGTATTTTTTTATTAGATGTAATCTCATTTGAAATATGTTCATATAATAAATAAAGGTAGATATAGGGGAGAATTTCTACCATATGAAAGAGAGATATTTACCAGTGAGTCTCTAAAAAAAAATTTAAAATTTTCTGCAGGATTTTTAGAATAAATTGAAATTAAATGGGTAGCTGAAAAGACTAAGATACCCTTTTGTTGCAACTGATATTGGTAAATTGACAAGTAAAGTTAAAGAATTAATAACTAATGATTATGTATTTAGGACTAAATAATTGAACTAGTATGATTATTAACAAGTCATATAATTTATAACTGATATTGATAAATTAACAAGTAAAAGTAAGATAATTAATAGTTGATATTATTATGATTATTAACAAGTGAAGTCAGGTAATTTACGATTGATATCGGTAGATTAACAAGTGAAGTAAGAAAATTAGCAACTAATAATGGTGCTTTTAATCAAATTAAGTGAACAAGTCTTGTAAAGGATTCACAAGTCAAGTTAAGTAGTTAACAAGTCATATTGACGAATTAACAAATAAAGTTGTGAAATTAACAAGTAATGTTATTAAGACTATGGAGTTACAAAATTAACTAGTTAACTACTTGACAAGTACTATTAAGGAACAAATAAGTACAAGCAAATAATTAATAAGTAAAGTTAAATAAGTACACTTATTACTTTTGCAAAAAGGCATTTCAGTTTTTTAGCTACTTATTTTATGTCAATTGAAGTAAAAAAAAAAAAAATTTGTAGAGAATTTTCAAATTTTTTGGTGATCCATTAGTAAATATCTCTCTTTCATGATCTTTAATTAAAATTCTCTCTAAAAACAGTCTCAGTGATTCACACAGAGCACCATGGAGATACACTTGATTTTTCATTTCCTTTTCTTCTTTGATTTCTTCAAGAATCTTGGCCTCCACTGAAGGGTGTGTAGCGACAAGCCAAAAGAACCACGTGAGAGCTGAAGTTATGGTGTCTCTACCTGCGACAAAAAGATGAAAAGCAGTGTCTCTTAGAAACTTGTCATTCACATGTTCTTTACCTTGTTCCTCCCTCATCAAAGTTGTCAGCAAGTCCTCCTCTGTTTTCTTCATTTCATTGTTTTTGCTAAGCTCTTCTCTCTTTGATGCTATACTTTCATAGAGGAATTGGTCAAACAATTGACATGCTTCAGCCATCTTCTTCTCTGCTCCAACTCGAAGCCATCTCTGAAGTTTCCAGATGCATCTTGGTACTGAGTATCTGTAGAATATAAACTCCTCAGCCTCATTGAAAGCTCTCTCACATGTAACTTTTGGGGAATCAACAGCAACGCTTTTGAGGTCAGATCCTAAGACCATAGAGCAAATAATATCAAAGTTGAGGCGATTGAACACGTCATGCAGATCCACTTCAATTCCCTGCCTTTCTAGATGATCAAGAAGAGGAGAAAGACAGAAATCCACCTTCTCTCGAACGATCTTTTCCAGAAACTTCTCGAAGCTTGGGGTTTTAAACAAGGAATGGAGAAGTGCCCTGTGATACTTCCATGTGTCTGAATCTGCAGTGAAAATCCCTTCCCCGAAAGGTTCAAAAATCTCATGAAATTCTGGACCTTTTGTGTAGTGGGCGAAATTCTTACTCATCATATGATGTACGTTCATGGGGTCGCAAGTCACCAAACCGTTCATTCCAGTAAACCAAGGTCCAGCGAAGCTCCCTGTACCCTCTTTTCTTTGAAGAGCCTGAGTTATATAGTCATGAATCCGACCTAAATTGCTGAGAACTGGTGGTAGCATTCCCAATATAGGCCAGTCTTTAAGGAGGGGGTCTTTGTAGCATCGTCTCTGATAGCAATGAAAAAGGAAGAGGATGAGTGCTGCAAAACCTGCAACCACTACTTGTGCATAACTGAGCATGATGATTGTAGACTATTATTGGATAACTTTGCTTCTTCAGATATCAGTGCACTTGTGTTTTCTCCGCTTAAGTTCGATCGACATTAAGCTCTTAAATGAATACAAGTTGCCAATGTTTAGTAGTCACTGTCCTCCTGGCCACCTTTCGGCGACATTATATTCCAACTACTTGGAGACCTTTTCGCCACCTTTACGTAACCTGGGTTCTTGTCTTTTTGAAGAACATGGTAGGTAGTAACATTGTTATTGTGCATTTGAAGATACAGTGGTACAAAGAATAAAAGTATCATTCAAGCTACTTAAGACTAGATCAGGTTATAAGAACCAGGGTGAGAAATGAATGGGTGAAGGAAGGTTGAGGTTTCGGACTTCGGGCTCTTCCCGTAATAAACAAATTAGAGAGTATCATGAAAATTCTAAACCAAGAACGTGGTGACGTTAAAATTCGAAGTAATTTCTTGGAGCTCGATTAATGATTATCAAAACTAAATAAATGTGGAAGGGAGCTTCAGGGTGATTTTCATAGGCCCCATCCTCTGTGACAAGTCTACTTTCTTATCCTGATATATAGGCTCTCTTTAGTTTACTTGTTTTGTCGGCGGGGAAAATTAAGAAAAGCGACAGCAACAGCAACAATGGACCCGTTCATTCAAGCTTAAAAAATAAATAATTTTTACATAGTTTATAAATTTTATAAAAAAAAATTTATTTTATAGAAATTTTATAAAAACTATATATTATTTTATAACTGGTTATAATAATAAAAAAATTATTAGTTATTTTTTTTAAATATTATAGTGTGTTCCTTAATTTTTATTTTACAGTATTTTTGTGTATTTTCTCTCTTTAACATATACTTTCTTATTTGCAGCATTAAATTATTTTCAGAAACTACTTAAAGTAACTTTTTAAAATAACCAAAAATCTTTTTTCTTTCCCAGATCATTTTCAAAAATTTAAACAAACATAGTAGAAACTCACAAAATAATTTTTTTTAAAAAAAATAATTTTTTATTAAAATACATTAAAATTCTTGCTGACTAGATAAACTTTGATGATATTCTTTCATACATTATACTTTCTAGGTTTAAAAAGTCTTACAAAAGTACTCACAAATCATCCATTAATAAAATTCTTAAATCATTAATAAAATTTGATCTTACAATCTTGTGACTTATGAGTTACATTCTTACCATGTTGGGCCTCTTGTTTAAATTTTTGTTCTCCTTCTTCAGCAAAATTTTGTTCTCTTTTCATGGTTCACCATAGTTAAGGTAAGATTCATAGCAAAACTAACAAACAAATTAAATGGCTACAACAATTAGTCTCTCTAAACATAAAATTCAAAGAGACAACTACCCCTAAATAAGATGAATCTAGCACAATGGATGATATCTCTGAACGGATAATTTTCAATCTCATACCGCAAGAGAAGGTTCAATGCCTTAGGTCGATCTGTGAAAAACATTGACTCCTTGAAGTCTCATCCTAGAACATATAGATCCAGCCCTTGTGAAATGCCAACCATTTCAGTGATCGAAGGAGGAAAGGAAATGACAAAAGAAGCAAAACTAACAACATCTAGCAACTCCATTGTTTCTTATCAGCACTCCACCACAACGAGCCTGCCATCTTCTCCAGTAACCAGACGGATCCATGAGGATTTTAATTGTTAGAAGAATGAGAATCTAAAATATCTCTAGAAGGGGGTAAAAGAGAAAGAAGACTCATTATATTAAGCCTTTATCAAAGTATCTTATATTTTGTAACACCGAATTTTTTTCAAAAGTGTCTTATAATTCAAGACTAATGGAGTACATTTTTTTTCTCAATTGTACTCTTTCACAATTTCTTATAAATAGAGTAAGAGGCTTTATATGAGAGATAAAATATTTTTAAGGATGATGCATTTACTAAGAATAAACTAAAAAAACTTATATCTTTTTATAACAAATATTGATAAGTTAACTAGATTTTTTTGATTCTGATGAAATATTAAAAGTGACCTATATATAAGATCAAAAAGAGTATATAAAAAATAATAAATAAATAAATAAATAGTCTAATTGTGTGTATAATATAGAGAGGCAATATATATAAATATATAACGTACATACTCATCTAATCCTATTTATAGGAAAACGAGATAATGTTTTTGTTCTATTTTAAAGGCACCTCAATAATTATTATGTTCATCTTCACTATATAGCCACTATTAAATGTAGGAAATTTTATTGCATGTTGGAGTATTTTATTTTAAAATAAGTATATTTAATATAGATAAAGTTAAAACTTGTTGAATTTTAAACATATAAACAAGACAAGAGGCCTCATATGATAGGTTATAAAGCACCGATACTTTTTATTTTTTATTTTTTTTATTTTTGATGCATATCCAATATTTTTATATTATGAGTTGGTACTTTAAAGTTGATACTTGAAGAGTATTTTTTAAAAAATTAATTTTTTAATATTACAATATTAACCTTTTCTATTTCTAATTTTTGTGATTTTCCTTTAAAATTAAATATTAGATCTTCCTTAAAAATAAGTTTTAGATATAATAAAAAGATAAAAATTATTTTTTAATTATAAAAATGCAGGAATAAAATATTTTGGCATTTAAACCATAGGTGGGGAACTATTAGCATAGACTAGATTATAGTCAATTAGGTATGGATAGAATAAAAATACAAGTAATGATTATGTTTTGTTTCATATTTTACAGGATTATATATATATGCTATTTTGGATATTTTCTAAATTAAAATTATATTTTTAATTTTTTTTAAATATATAATTAGGTATAGATAGAATAATAGTAAAAATAACGGTTATGTTTTGCTTTATATTATTTTACAGGAATTTATATGAATGCTATTTTGGATATTTTTTAAATTGAAATTATATTTTTAATTTTTTTATTATAGTTTATATGTATGTATGTGTGTATGTGTGTGTGCATGTATAAAAAATATATCGTTTCTTATATTTTTAAAATAAAAGTATCGAAGTATCGAATATTTATCATATCTAATACATGTATTAGTATCCATGCATCATAAATAATAGACCATAGAAAGTTTTGAGTGAGCATTGTATGCTATATATACCTATCCTACCTATATATAAGGGATGGCCGAAGTAATTGAATGAATGCATTGATTATCTAAAGAGTGCAAAAGTAGATTTTACTAATTGCCAACAACATCATGCCATTACAGTACGATGATCTTTGCAGCAACATTATCAGGTGCAAGCCAATCAGTGGCTTGATTATATCCGTTCAATGAATACATGCATAATAACATTACCGAAGTAGAAAAACAGACACAAGCATGACAAAAGACTTCAAACATACAACACAAAATATAAATTACCTTCTTCTACTTTTATATTATATTGGTCAATGTCTTTTAATGATTCGAACCTCGAGAGCATATCTCATTTGATGCACTACTGAAAGTGTGGGAGAATAAGATGATCTTCCAGACTTCCACCATATGAAATTGGTAGTTACACAAGATAACAGAAGCTATCATCTTCATTTGAGTGAAAGATAAGTCCTTACCCAAGCATGTCCTTGAACATACAGTAAAAGTACTAAACTTATATGATGGCATGTGAACAATGCCCCCTCACTTTGAAATCTATCGTTTTGGTTTGAATTCCAAGCAATCTTTTTCCCATATTTCTTCATACCTTCGCATAGCATACAGAGAAGTCATTATCACATTACTAGGACTGACCTCATGCCCACTAGGAAGAATATCATGTTTGATCGTTTGCCTAAGAACCAAAGGTACGGGAGGATACAATCTCAAACGTTCACACAAAGCAGCGTGGAGATATACTTGATCTTTCACTTCCTTTTCTTCTTTGATCTCTTCATGAATCTTTGCTTTTACTGAAGGGTGTGTAGCAACAAGCCAAAAGAACCATTGAGAGCTGAAGTTATGGTATATCTACCTGCAAAAAGAAGACTAAAAGCAATGTCTCTTAGAATCTTGTCATCCACGTCATCTTTTCCTTCGTCCCCCTCATCAAACATGCGAGCAAATCATCGGTTTCCTTCTCGTTTCCGTTGATTTTTTGGAGCTTTTCTCTCTTTGATGCTATACTTTCATCGAGGAATCGGTCAAACACTTCACATGCTCGGGCCATCTTCTTCTCTGGTCCGATTCCAAGCCATCTCTGAAGCTTCCAGATGCTTTTAGGTATTGTGTGTCTCTAAAATATGAACTCTCCTACTTCGTCAAAAGGCTATCATGCATGCAACATCTTGGAAATCTAGTGTGGGGCTTTTTGGATCAAATCCTAAGACTATAGAGGAAACAGCGTCAAAGTTGAAGCGACCAAACACGTCTTGCACATCCACTTCAACTCCTCGCTTCTCGACATGATCAAGAAGAGGAATCAAACAACTCTCCACCTTCTCACAAATAATCTTCTCCCGAAACTTCTCGAAGCATTTTGTTTTGAAAAGTGAATGCTGAAGTGCCCTTAGTGTTCCCATGCATCTGAATCTACAGTAAAAATAGAATCACCAAGAGCATCGAGAACCTCGCGAAGGTCATGCCCTTTAATGTAGTTAGCGAAATTCTTGCTCATAATGCGATGTACGTTCATGTGGTCACAGGTCACCAAATAGTTCATTCCAGTAAACCAGGGTCCGAGGAAATTACCAGTGCCTCCCTTTCTTTGCAGAACTTGAGTTGTGTAGTCATGAATACAAACGGAGAGCTTTGCTTCTATAGATCATACGATGTGCTATACAAATACAATTATATAGCCAATGAATAGAGAAGGAGAATAATGTTCAAATTGTGCTCCTATAAGCCAATGCCGTTCAATCCTGCTTGCTGATATTCTGGTTTGCATTAGTATTGGATAGTAGTGAGGCAGTACTGGACTGTTAGGTAGTAGACTAGGCTAGCAGGAAAAATATGGTGAAGGGAAAATGCGGGGAAAGAGAAGGAAAAAGAGAGAGAAGTGATTTTCTCTCTATGCCTGATTTTTTATTTTTTATTCTGGCCAGCTCTCATTATGTTTGATTGAGCCAGTGAAAATAAGAAAAAAGTTGTTAATTCAAATAGATAATAATAACTTTATTATTTGTAAAAAAATACTTATATATACATAATAAAATTTAATATTTTAACATATTATTTATATAATTTTCTTATTGATCCTAATGAAATAAAAATATAATTGCAAATTAGTTTATCTAATTTTAAATTTTATGTTTTGAATTATTAAACATACAATAATCTAAAAATTTTAAACTACAATCAAATATATGGAGGGAAGCATATGCATATGCATATATATATATATATATAGAGAGGCAAAAGATAAAAAAAAATTGTGGAAAAATTTGAAAGTGGGGTTTTCCGTTCAAAACCTTCCCTTTTTTGAAAGAAAAGTTTAGGAAAATTATGTGCATCCTACGTATTTTTTTTTATTTTTCTCTCCCTCATTTTGCTTTCCTTCACTTTTCTCCCTCACTTTTCTTTCTCCCTTCTTCTCTTTCTTGCTCATGCAAAGTATTAGTTTCTTTCCATTTTGTCTCTTTTTTGTGGATATTTAATTTGGTTATAACATCGATTGGACCAGGAAAAGTTATTATTGCATTATAAGGATGCAATTGAACAAGTGGAGCAAGTTTTAATTGACGTAACATGAACCTATTAGTCTGAAGGCACCATCCAGAGCGACAAAAGTCCAACACCCACCAAATTGATACCATGTAAAATCTCCTTGTACTTCATTAGGACCCCATAGTAACAATAAAGTGTGTGTTAAACTATTAGTAAGAATACAGACTATAGCAGTTGGTTAAGAAGTTGCAACCTTCTAAATAATGGCTTGCCAATCCATATATACCATGAAGTTATAAAGGTTATATGTGTAAACCAACCTCCCAAGGCAAAATAGGCACAGAGAAAGAGTAATATACCAGAACAACCTACAATAACGAAACAGCAACCCTTCATAACCAATCATCCGGCATGTCAAATAAATCATTGTCATCTTTTGGCAAATTTACTAAGTGCTATAGTCATTCCATTGCTCTCAGTACTTCAAGGGAAATATTTTTTGCTATCAACAAAGCCTATTCTTTATACTTACAAAAAAAAAATTTAAAATCTTAAAATTTTAGAAAAAGACTATATATAATCCTTAATAGTGATTAAAATTTTTTAATTAATTTTTTTCAGTTCTCACCTCATACAATTTTAATAGTCATTTTTTTGACATTTTAGTACTCGGTTTTCTTATTCTTTTAAGTGGTCACTTTAAATGTCCTCAATACACATCTTACATGATTTTAGACCAAAAAATAAGGAAAGATAAGATCTTTTTATAGTCTTGAAAAAACATGGAAAATGATTATTGAAAACATCTTTGATGATTTTTAAAAAATAACAAAAAACTGAAAACTAAAAATGCTAAAGATGAATATTGAAATTAAAATACTTATGCTAGATGCTAAAAATATGAAAGATGAGTACCAAAAAAAAAATTAACTCAGGAAAATTTTAATGGGAGAATGTGTAACATCTTGATTTTGTGATTGAGTATTAAGAGTTATTTGGCTTGATTTGGGGACTTGATTAATGTTAATTTTAGAGCTGTTTCGGTGGGAGATGAGGTTAACAAGTGATTTGTGGGGGTTTAAGGGTTATGTGGTTGCCTGTCGGCGGACACGGCAAAGAAGAGCCATATTTATCCAAATGTCCATTCAATGCTCATCCATTTGCGGACGAACGTTGAGTAAGCATAATCGACCCTCGATGTTCACCCATGCGTTGATGCAAAATTAATAGGTACGACCACTCGTGAACGTCATTGCGGGCCTGTTTTCTAAACAAGTCTTCAGATAATGGAAAAAAGAGAGGAGAGGGAGAATGGTGAATAGAGAGAAGGAGCTGGGATTTGTCATTTTTGAACTTTGGATCACAATTTGAAGCTTCTTAACCCTCTATTAAGTAATTATAAACTATAATCTACTTCCACTTCCTCTATTTTTGTTGACTTGAGCTTGGTAGTTGAGATAAAACGTTAGAGTTTCAAATTCTTTGAGGTTTCTATTAACTGATTTTGGTTTAATTGTTATGAATAAGCTATTTGGAGATTTCTAAGTATTTAATCGATTTATTTCATTCATGGTTTGATGACTTAGGATCGATTAGAGTTAACCCTAGGTCCTAAATTGTTGATAATAGGATTTTGAAAGTTAATTATGGTTGTTAAAAGTTTATATGGATTGGTTATTGTTGAGAAAATTATAGGGTTAAATGGATAATTGTCGGGTGAAATTTTGTATTAGAGGACATGGCTTTGGGATTTAAAGAGGTCGTTTGAGATTGATTAAGAATGATATTGGAAGAATTGTTTTTTCTCTTTTATTTTTTATACGCATGCTCTCATTGAAAGTATTCTTGTTCGAGATATAATTGTCTATTAAATGTAAACATCTCTTTCAATTGAGATTTAAACCTTACCACATTGTGGATTATCAACCCTTTCTATTAGACTCAATCTCATTGGTATATTGGAAGAATTGTTAATCATGAGTAATAGAAGCATTAGGGTTAATATAATATTATTATTAATTATGAATTTAAATTTGATACTCAAAGGAGCCAGATAGTCTGTCGGCGTCGAAGATAGATGAGGATACGAGGCTAAATCGTACTCCAAAATCATATGAATGTAAAATAATATAAATAATGTAAGGAAACTGCCCAATATAAAGGTCAATTTGTTAACGTCGAAGATAGATGAGGATACGAGGCTAAATCGTACTCCAAAATCATATGAATGTAAAATAATATAAATAATGTAAGGAAACTGCCCAATATAAAGGTCAATTTGTTAAGCTCAAGACATTTTTTTTTTTGTTTTTGTATCATGGAGACATATACTATTTGCTTATTTTGCTATATTTTAACAATTTTGGACCATTTATATTTGATCTAAACGATCCTGATTTCACAATATATATTTTTACATTTTAAAAGTTTTTTTAACCTAAGGATTTGGCTCTGCCACTGCTCCTTGAGCAGTCTCAGTCAATCTATATGATGTCTTGTTCATTGCAATATATATTAATATTTATTAATTAGTCTGTCCTCCATTCTTTTCTCCATTATATTTCAATATTTCATTTTGTGTATGAATCCTTGTGCATGTTTGGATAATACAAATAATCAATATTTTAAAGGCAAAAATTATGATTTTATGAAATATATATATATATAAATTATAAATTTAAATTCATGACTTTTTAAAAAATATCAAACACAAATCAAAATCAATTATAAATATAAAACTATAATTTTTAATTCTCATCAAATATTTAATTTACAATACTCTATTTTCAAGGTAGTTAGGCCTATAAAGCCTTCCAACCAGAAACCACTTTACGTTTTTAATATCATTCAATTAATTATTAGTTGTAGATTCAATGTAAGCTGCACCAAATACATTAAAGCCGTCAATTCAGGTTGCTGATATTTTGGTTTACATTATGGACAATTAAGTAGTGATTGGCTGATAATAGAAAATAAAGAGGAGAGAAAATGATGGAAGAGAGAATGGGAGAAGAGAAAAGTAAGGGACTATGATTTTACCTCGTTATGCTAGGCTATGCAAGAAAAAACAGGGAGCAGAAAAAAATGTGTCAATTCATATAAATAATAATAATTTTATTATTTGTAAAAAAATATTTATACACAACAAAACTTTGGCACTAATTTACAAAATTCCCCTGAATTATTTAACATTGTTGCATATAACTTTCCTTACATTGAAACTTTAAAATTGACCTTCATAATATTTTATTTTTCTTTTCAAAGCCTCCTACCATCAATAACTCTATTATCTAATTAACAAATTAAAGTTTGCCATGCCAGGTAAAACTCACAACTTTAATTTTTTTTTAAATCTCAACTAAATGCAAAAATTTTAAACAATCTAAATAAAAAATTTTTAATACATAAATTTTAAATGTAAAATTTAATATCTAAATTAAATTCTAAATTCATTTTGTGCACTTTTGACAGGAAGTAAGAATGGGCCATGCCCATAAGGATTTTTTAATATAGAATTTTTGCATTCTCTCTATAAAGATACTACTCTGGCTCCCATTGAAAGCCCAATAAAAGCCCAACATAATGAGTTTTCTTTTTTCTTTTCTCTCTTACCTTTTCATTTTAATTTAGGAAAAATGACAATGAAGTCTCTAAGGATCAATTTTATTCAAGATAAGTCCCAAGACATTTTGAAAGGCTAATAAAGTCCCATATTGTTTTTCACAAATCAAACTTATGAAAGAAATGATGAAAATGCCCCTATGATTAAATATAACATGTACACTCATCAGCTCCAGCATTTCCCTCCCGATTTATCTCTTTTCTGCCATTAATAAGAGTTGCATGTAAGTGGTGGGGCTGCATGTTAAAGAATGCCCATTCTTAAAATAGAGTTGTGCTTGGAAGAGGTGGAGTTGCCTTAATTATTGATTCAAGGAAGCTCAAGGAGTTGTGCTGGTGCATTTAGACAGGTGTGTCTTTTTTTCTTTTTCAAATCCCTGTATCTAAACAAAAAAGTTTACTCCATTAAGGTCTGATTTTTTTCAAAATAGCTCTTGTAAGGAAAAAGATGGAACAGTTTATTGCAATTGAGCATGAAAGATTTTCTTTTATTATTATTTCACGTTTCTAAAGATTTGGTATGAAGATTTGACATTTTGCAACTGAAAGTGTAAGAATTTATCATCGAGTGTCCATATTTTAAGATGGAATGTTGTCACTGTTTTACTGATGCAAAAATCACTTTTGTCAAGAGTAACTTATTTCTAAGTGATATATTATTACATTTTATTTTGTTTATTGTAGGTTGATATTATTGGGTACAATGAAAAGTAGTTATTTTAGGGAAACTTTTTGTTATTTTCATTTTGGTGGAGATATTGTAAAAGATATCCATGGGACAATGCATTATGATGGGGGGAGTTATAATGAAAGAATGATTAGAGAAGGAATGTCTCTTGAAGGACTTTTTAGATTTGATTTCATCATGCTTAAATTGTGATTTAAATGGAATAAAGTTTAAGTACACAGTAAATCTTGATTGTAGTGCTCTTTTAGACTTTAAAGATGATGAAGGAATAAATCAATTAATGAAATTAAATGATAATTTTGCTTATGTGTACATCATTGGGAAGATACAGCAAAGTACAAAGGCAACAAGAGATTCAATTGATGGGAAAGTTTTTTTAATAGTTGCATGATTAATATTATGCTAATATGAATGTGAATGATAGCAATAATCATGATTTGAATGGAAATGTAGAGCAGGATGTTCAATTGGGAATTCATATGCTACACAAGATCTTGAAGTTCTACCATGTGCAATATAAAGTATCCCAATACCAATGCCTAAGCTAAATGCAACAAAGTGGAAGGATTTGCTAATAGGAACTAGGCATATTTTTGTGAGTGCTGATGATTGTAGACAAGCAATCTACAAGTATAGTATTGCACACAAGTTTTAATATAAATTTGTAAAGAACAACACAAATAAAATAATTACAATTTGCAAGGCAAAAGAATGTCAATGGAAGATAACAGCGTATTCATTAAAGAAGTCAATGCCTTTACATCGTGTAATAACTTTAAAGAATAAGCACTTACGTAGAGTGATTACACCTTGAAGTTTCTTATAGTTCAAAGTGCACACTGACTTTATCTATAATTGATGATGTAGTAAGGTCTAATGTGGAAAAAAGACCCAATGAAATCAAAGCTGACATATAGAGACTATGGCATAAGTCTAACTTATCATCAAGCTTTAAGAGCGAAAGAGAGGGCATTGGTAGAAATAAATAGGCTTCCTGACCAATCATATATGCTTGTTCCTTGGTTGTGTAATAGACTAATGGAGACTGATGTTGATACTATAGCAAAATGGGTGGCTTTTGAGAACAATAGATTTGAACGTTTATTTATTGTATATGGTTGTTCCATCAGAGGATTCTTACTTAGGGCTAGGCCTATTTTATATATGGATGGATATTTTCTCAGTAGGCCTTATCGAGGCACCTTATTGGCAGCTTCAACATACGATGCCGATAATGAGTTGTTTCTATTAGCTTTTGCAATAGTTGGTAGTGAAACTCATGATGATTGGACTTGGTTTCTATAAAATATTAAAGATATCTTTGGTTCGCTATAGGTAACTATTGTTTTTTTATAGAAATGATGCTATTATTGGTACTATTAGAGCTATATTTGGTGGCGATAGACATGCATTTTGCTATCGACATGTCAAGGAGAATTTAGCTCTGAGTTTAACAAAGCTTGCAGGGGAATGGGAAGGAACATCAAGAAAAAGGCACTAAAGTTGCTTGATCACATTGCCTATGCAAGGCATGAGTATGAATTTTGTATAGCCATGGGAAATTTGAGGATGTTTTCTCCATAATTAGCAAGATGGATTGAAAATCAAGGCGATGTTGATCGGTAGGCACTATCGTTCTTTTCATTTCGAAGATGGGATAAGATAACAACCAACTTGACTGAATCATTCAATGCATGGATTCTTGAGGAGAGGAGGCATAATATATGTGTTCTTATAAATGAGCATAAGGACAAGTTGAGCAAGAAATTTTTTATAAGTAAGGCAACCATGAGTAAGTGAAAAAGCATAGTTGGTCCAAATATTAAAGCAAAGTTGAAGGAAAATATTTTGAAGGCAGAAGTTATGATAGTTCAGCTGTATGGCTCACATATTGCATTGG